AGCCCGATGCGGGACTCGATCCAGGGACTCCAGGATCATGACCTGAGCCGAAGGCAGTCGCTTAACCAACTGAGCCACCCAGGCGCCCTCTACTCCAAAAATTTTAACATCTTCATTATCTACCAAATTAAGTATAAATTATACCCTGGCATTCAATGATTTCCACAAAAAGAGCCCCAACATATCTTTCCCAATTTATTTCCTAGTACTGCTCCTGCATATATAGCCACAAGCCCAATACTCCTGTAGGCCCAAATTACTAGGCAACAATGGATTAGTACTGGTTGCTGCCCTTAGGTACAAAAGGAGAATAGCCAGTTCCCTACTCCCACAGAGAGGCTGGGAAGTGAACACTACGGCAGTACCCTTCTGAAACACAGATCTAATCTGTCATGCCCTTGCTTAAAACCATTATAGTCAGCTTTTTATAAATCTACAGTCCATGGGCCAGGATGTAGTTAGAATTAAAAGTTCCATGAACTTGGACTGGGAAAAAATTGCACCTTGATTTTTGATAATATCTAACTGAAATTTAGCATTTTCTTCAATAAGTATAGGCAATGATCCACAGTAGTATTAGCAGTCCCTATACCTTTGTCACCAATAGAAATATATTTTCATATCACACTGAAGTTGTACAGGTATCGCAAAATATAATTTCTACTCATCACTATTTTGAAATTACTTGCTGCCAGGTGTTATTTAATGCATAAAGAGGCACATACATAACTACATCATACACCTGTTTTTTAGTATTTTTAAAACTTTCAATAAAATTGATATTGTTTCTATGTATTTTATTTTCACATTTAAAAACATTCTGAGATAGGGCCCACAGGACAGGCTGCCAAAGAAGTCCATGGTGTAAAAAAAGGTTATTTTATTTTTATCTTTGTTTTTTATACCTATTAATTGCTTATAGTAGATAATCTAAACACTTTAGCATGGAATTCAAGGCTCCTCATAATCTGTTCACACCCACTTTATCATCTTTATCTCTGCCCCACCCCTACTCTCCATATTAAGCCCTAGTCATACCAGACAACAGTAACTCACTCTTATCTGGAGGCTGATAGACAAGTTTTTGGATTAGCCCTAGTTAATAAACAGTAGCCATGCACTGGCTTTGCCTCTGCCTTATAGAGACCTCTCTGCCTGCCAAGTGAATTGTTCTTTTAAAAGGTTTGTTTTCCCTAATAGTATGAGATCTTAATAGGGCCATATCTTAACTGTCTTTATATATCTCTTTCCTAACTTAAATGATTGCTGAATAACAGAAGACAGATTCTGAATTGGCAAGGCACTGTATGCAGTAATCTCTAGGGGAGTAAAGTTAGTCTTTGAATCTCAAATTGACTTAGCTCTTTTTGGGGACAGAAATGAAGATGCCCTTGATTGAGCCCTAAGGCTGGATCCCCAGCTGATAGATGCTGGATGCTAGGGAAAGGGAAAGAGAGCCCTGAGATGGACTTAAGATTGAAGGATGGAAGTGTGCTGAAGGGAAAGGCAGAAATGACACCTTTCCCATTGCCCAGAGTAGTTATCCAAAACTTCTATCACTCTGCTCAAGCTTCTCATTCCATCCCCAACTCTCTCATCAAGTGACTTCCATCTTAATGTTACAGAGCCAACGCCATCAACTTCCTGCCCTTCCTTACTTCCGATCCTTTCCTTTCCTCTAGTGGTTCTCAACCCTCAGCGCACCTCAGGATCTTTAAAAAATACTGATGCCTGAGCCCTTAACTCCAGAGTTTGTTTAATTGGAACAACATTGGTTTTATTAAAAAACAACAACAAATAACAAAACAAAAAACAACTTCTCAGGTTATTCTAACGTGCACACAAGGTTGAGTTCCACTAGTGCTCTAGATGCTATAAATTAGCCACCTTCATCCATGAATTGTCCACTCCTGAGTTCCATGGTACACTTTTATGCCTAAGTCTCCCATCTTTAAAGAAAACATTCTTTCGGCCCACATTCTCGTCCCTCATCTCTCTCACCCTTTACAACGATGCTTCTTTAAAGGGTAATCTACACCTATGGGCTCCACCAACTCTACTCCTCTAACTTTTTACTCTTACAGTCAATACTGTCATATGCTTTTGCCCCCGTCATTCCCTCTGCTTCTATCTCCTATTTCTCGACCAGCTACTGCTCACTAGCCTTTTAACACAAGTTAGGAGTGACTCAAAGGTCACCTTGGAAAGGGTTTCCCCCAGTCCCTCCACACAATCAGGGGCCCCTCTTCTATGCTCAGAGGGTCCTGTGCTTTTTTTCCGTCATACTTTTACTTTATTACGGATTCTCTCAACGTCTCCCACATAACACCGCACTTCAGAAGACTGAAATTGCTTCATTTGCTTCTGACTTCCTAGAGTCTAAAGCACGAGAAAGCACTCTGAAAAGTCTGAGGAATGAATGGAAAGTCAGACTAGGAAACGGAGGTCGGGGGCGGGGAAACGCGGGGAGAGAGGGCGTGTGTGTGGGAAGGGGCGGGGGCTAAGAGGGGCGGCGCTGAGAACCCTGCACCAGAACTGGGGAGGGGGCAAGGATATGCTAAGTCTGAGAGGGCTAGAAAGCGGCTCCCTGACGGGACAGACCGCCGACCAAACGAAGTAGGGAGGCGGCTTCTTACCTGCCTCGGGCCTCACCACCCCAACCAGCCTTCAGGCACCTCTGTATTGGCCGGAAAGCGAGAGCTACAGTCGCAAACCCAGAGTTTTCTACCCCAACCTTGCGACACTCCTCTCCAGTGGAGTGAGAATCTGAGGCACGGTTCCGAGCTCTGCCGTAAGGTGAGGAAGAAAAGTTTGGGCGGGGCCGCCTGGGGCGGACGAATGGGGCGTGCCCGCGCAAGCGCCTGAGGTACTCTCTGGCGGCGTCACGTGCGGGGGCCGGGCCGGCAGGCTGGCCGGCTCCGGCAGGCGGTAGGGGGCGTGGGAGGTAAGTGCGCGCGCGCCTGCTCGTCTGCAGCCGGGGAATCGCGCGGGGCGGGGCCGCGTGCGTGGGGTCGGGGGCGCGCGGGCCTGAGCGGACGAGGGACGCGGCGGCGGTTGGCGGTGGCTGCTGAGAGTACCGCAAGGACTGTGAGAGGCGGCGGCGGAGGCACCCGCTGCCCCGGCAGAGACAGCGACAGCGGCTGAGGCGGCGGTCCGACGCGTGCTCTCTGGGCGGGGTGCGGCGGGGGATGTGCCTGCCCGGGCCGGGCGGAGTCTCTCTGACAGGGCGGGGGATGCGCGGCGGCCGCTCTCCCGGACCCTGAGGCTGCTGGGCCCACCCTCCTGGAACCGTCCGACCCTCGGTGGCCTCAGCCTATGCTGTCTCCAGCGGCCTGACCCTGGAGCCGCGTGGGAGGTGGCTTCTGGCGAAGAGGAGGGGGCTGTGGTGGCCACCGCGGCGGAGCCCGAGGTAAGACCCGCCCAAGCCGCCCCGCGGCCCTGCTGCCCGGCCCGGCCCACGTCTCGGTCTCGCTCTTTGGCTCCTGCGGGGCCCCTCCGCCCCGCCCCAGCGGAGACGCCCCGCGAGCGAGTCTGCCCGGGAGCCACCCGGACACCCGATCACTGCGCGGGGTCCCTGGTAGACCCCGCCCTCGTATCTTCCATTGGCCAGATACCATTCTGGCCCGCCAGCCCCCCGGCGGTTCTGTCACGGGCCCCCACTCCAGCACAGCCCATTAGAAACCCCCTCGGACTCTCTTAGGACTCTTAATGGAGCCTCCAGACTCCGTTACGGCCTCTCATAAGCTGACCTGATCACAGTTCCTCCGAGACCCGGTCACGGCCGCCCCCTAACCCATAGCGACCCCCAGCTCCACGGCAGATCCATCGCAGCCCACCCCCTCCCTGCAGACCCCTTCCCTCCCAGCTCGCTGCCGGTCAGCCCTACCCACCACCTCGGCTTTGGGGTAGTCTGTTTGGTGATGCTTTCACCTCCCAGGAGATGTGGTCAGCACCTCTGTAGACACCATCAGACAGCAGCCTCTCCCCCAGCCTTTCTCTCGGGCAGACCTTGTTATCTTTCTCTTTTCTTTGGTTGAAAGGGGTTGCTATTAAATCCTGAAGGGATGTTTGCTTAACTTAGTGCCCCCCCCACCCCCCGTGGGGCTTAAGGGGACCAACTGACACCCGTGTTTGGAGAGTTTAATCTGGTGGCTGAGGAGGGAGGGACAGGGAAGAGTGTGGAAGCCCAGGGCAGAGGGTGTGTGTGCTAATAGAACGTCACACAGCCTGCTTCTCATCTTGTCTCTTCCGTAGAACGTGTGACATTTACGGACCTCTTTAAGGATTAAATCACATTACACTAAGGGATGTGACAGTGTCTCCATGTAATATCATTTGTTTCACCTTCCTGTAGATTTTTACGCATTTTTTTATTTTTGAATGATACCGGGGGATTGTTTTTTTTAATGTGTTGTTTTGAATTTGCTGGAAAAACACGTTTTGTAGCTTTCCTTAATCCCTGAAGATTTTAATGTCAATCTAATAATAAATTTCTGCTCCCTGATGCTGCTGTCTTGCTTTTCTAAGGAGCAAGTACAGTTATCATGCAGTGTTGACTGATGTCATTACCAACAGCCTTCTCAGCAGTAGTGATAATAGTGAATAAAATTTTGTGGAAGTTGAACTTCTGAGTTGTCAAGAAAAAAATGCAATGTTACACTAAATGATCAGTACCTAATTTTAACGTTGGTATAGGGATGAAGTATAGTGAGGTTTTTGTAGTTAGTACTTTTAAAATTTTTATTTTGTGTGTGTGAAGCTGAGGAGGGAGAACATCATATTAAAATTATACGTAATAACTCGACATAGTATAAAAGTCAAGAGATTCAAAAGTGTGTGCAGTAAAAAGTTTTTCTTCCCCCTATATCCTCCAACCACCCGTTTTCACTCTTTAGAGGCAACCTCTATTTCCATCTTCATGTGGGTCTTTCCTGTGATATTTCTAGCATTATACAAACCTATACATTCTCAAATTTATATTCTTAAATATATTTATATTCTTAAAAATCACCACAAATACTTTACACTCTATAGCTTCCTATACACTCTAGAGCTTTCCCCCCTCCTCTACCCCCTACTTAATAACAGATCCTAGAAATCATACAACAGTACATATGGAAATGCCTCATTTATGGGCTGGACACTATTGTTTTTATGATCTTGAGATTATTTTTAGTCTTTGCTTTTACAGACAATGCTACATGCTTTTCTTTGAAATGTATTAGCTGTTATATGTATGTCCCAAGTAATTATCAGGATTTCAAATTTCCTGGTGACTCTTTTGTATTGAATTTACAAAAAAGGATATAAGTCAAGTTCTCATTGAACTTCTGAGCTTCCATGGAGTGACTAGCTTTGATGCTGATTATAATATTTATCAAATAAGTTATTGAAGGATATAGAGTAGGGTACTGAAATGATCAGATTGGCATTTTTAAAAGGTCACTGTGGCTGCAGTGAGTAGAGTGGATTAAAGAGTAGTCTAAGACTGAAGGCAGGAATATCAGGCAAATGATGATAGTGGGTCTGGATTTGGGTATTGGGAGTAGACAGGATTTGGTGATTTCATTGGATTTGGGATTAGGGAGAAGGTTCATAGAAGATTTAGGTTTCTAGCTTGTACCTTTTACTGAAGTGGGAATCGATATGAGAGAGGAATGGGATTTTTATTGTTATTTTTGTCAAGAAAGAAGAATTTAATTTGTGACAAGTTGGATTTGGGTGATTATACTTCTGTCAGATCTTGATGGCCAAGAGGCAGCTGGATTTGTGCCTTAAGTTCATTATCAACTTCTGGGATGGTAGTAATAGATTTTGGGGGCAAAATGTGTAAATGAGAGGAGAAAAGATTTTGGGACAGAAATCCAACATTTATAGTGTAGGTAGAGTTGAATGTCTAAAGATAGTAAATTAAGTGATTAAATTATTATTTTTTTTTTAAAGATTTTATTTATTTATTTGACAGAGAGGGACAACCAGAGGGGGAACACAAGCAGGGGGAGTGGGAGAGGGAGAAGCAGGCTTTCCGCAGAGCTGGGAGCCCGATGCAGGGCTCGATCCCAGGATCCTGGGATCATGACCTGAGCCGAAGGCAGACGCTTAATGGCTGAGCCACCCAGGCTTCCCTAAGTGATTAAATTCTTTAAAAAATCTTATTGTAGTTTAAGTATCAATAATGAGGTTCACTGTCTAACATGTGATTAAGCTTTTTCCCTTAGTTAACATTAGTGGTAGATAGTTTATGAGGAAAATGGAATAAACTTTGATTTTTTTTTTTTAAGTAAAGCCTCAGTAGAAATTAGTACTATAAGTCCGTCTTTTCTAATCATTTGGATTTTGCTGTTTTAGAAGTTGGTTCAGTCTTCGTTTGTGGAGAAGTGCAGGATGTTTGAAAATATGGTTGCCAAAAATATTAAGTTTCTTAGTTTGCATGATTTTTTAAGTTATATTAACTTAGTTTAAATATATATTAGTCAAAGAATTTTGGGTCATGTTTTAAAATCTAACATCAACTTTATGTATTCCTAAGTCTAGAGCTGCTGCATAGATCTCTGTCAACTCTAGACCCCTGTGAATCACTGCTAATGGACGTCTCCACTTGGATTCACATTTCACAAACACTTCAGCCTTGTACAAAATAAAACTCTTTCTCTGCTTCTCTTCCTTCCAAAAAGGAGGGGGTAGAAGGAGGCAAACTGCAACGAATTTTGTTTTTGATTTCCTATCTTGATGAATTGCACCACTCTCCTCTCCAGAAGTCTGCAGGGACCTGTGAATCATCCTCCACTCTGTACCTTACTACCAATGTCATTAAGTCCTGCACATTTTCCCTCGTGATATTTCAGATAATTTCTTATTTCTATTTTTATTGTTTCTACTTTATTTTTTAAAAGATCTTATTTATTTGAGAGAAAGCAAGTGAGAGAGAGCGCAAAAGAGGGGGGAGGGTCAGAAAGAGAAGCAGACACCCCGCTGAGAGCGCTAAGTGGGGCTCTATCCCAGGACTTTGGGATCATGACCTGAGCTGAAGGCAGACGCTTAACCGGCTGAGCCACTCAGGCGCCTTGTTTCTACTTTATTTTAACCCCAGATGTCTGTTGTCCTCGTCTAATGCCTTTTTTTTTTTTTAATTTTATTTATTTATTTGACAGAGAGAGAGACACACACGCACACACAGCGAGAGAGGGAACACAAGCAGGGGGCGTGGGAGAGGGAGAAACAGGCTTCCCGCTGAGCAGGGAGGCACATGGGGGGCTCGATCCCAGGACCCTGGGATCATGACCTGAGCCAAAGGCAGACGCTTAACGACTGAGCCACCCAGGTGCCCCTCCTCTAATGCTTTCTAAGTGGTCTTGTTGCTCTCTCTTTTCTGCCTCTTGTTTTGCCCTACCCTCCAGTTCATTCTCCGCACTGCTGCTGGATTAGGTGTTCTAAAATGCTCTTTTTGTTAGGCTGTTTCATTTGCAAAAGAGACTCAAGTTACAGTAAGTAGTAGAGTGCTTTTTGAAAGGAAACATGCACAAGGGAACCTAGGAAAAAAAACAACTTGGTCTCAAGAAGAACAGGAGTTTAATAAATAAAACTAGAAGCAGGAAAAGACAGATTTCACTCTAGTGCTCTACGGTTAACTTGTCTTAGCTACTCTTACTATTTCTCTTTGGCTTACTTTTTCTCTCTACTCCAGTTTTTCCTCCTCTTATCTCCCAGCTTCCATTTATTCCTAATTTCTGCCTCCTTACAACTACTGTCACTACCGTGCCAACATTTTGCCTCCTGGTTGCTCTTGTTTTAACTTGAGCTCCTGTTTACTAACTTCTTCCTTCTCCCAGGGATTTTCTGGTTTGAATTCCTAAGAAACAATCTCTTTGGCTCAGTTCTTTTTCTCATGGACTGCTAGCAAGTCTGTATACTTGGGTCATGTGATCACTCCTGGCCATTTAGTGTTGGCGGTGTGTTTATTTGTGCTTGTGGGTGTGGGGCAGGATCATAACGGTGAAAAGCATAGGGGCAGTGTGCAGGCTGATTTCTCACAAAATGGGATTGCAAGCATGGAACATACTATAATTGACATTTGTAGTACAAATACAAATCTGATCATGTCCTTTCCTTTTGAAAGATCTTTAGTGTTTTTTTTTTAAAGATTTTATTTATTTATTTGACAGAGACAGCCAGAGAGAGAACACAAGCAGGGTAAGTGGGAGGGAGAGAAGCAGGCTTCCTGCTGAGCAGGGAGCCTGATGCAGGGCTCGATCCCAGGATCCTGGGATCATGATCTGAGCCGAAGGCAGACGCTTAACGACTGAGCCACCCAGGCGCCCCAGATCTTTAGTGTTTTCTCACTGCTTTCAGGATAAAGCTTAACTGTAGCATGTCATGTATGTGAGATTTTTCATGACCTGTTACTTCTCT